TCCCTGATTGAATCAGGTGTAATACTGAATTTAAATCCCTACTATTTTACTGTCTTTTGAAGTCAATACAGTGTCATATTGAGTTAGGCAGAAAGCGGTGTTCTACCCAGACCTGTAGGCTTGGCACCCACTAGTTAGTTAGGTTAAAATAAACACCACATTAAACCAATCTATGAAGAAAATGTGTAACCAGGATACATCTTACAGTCAAGTAATGGTAACGAAGTTTAAAAACATTTTGGTTCAATTTAATTTCTGATTCAACGTTCAAGTAATATCAAGGTTCCCAAGGCCAGTTCATCATGTTATTCTTGTCCATGTTAAATAAATGATTTTTGTTGGAAAGGTGTGCATTGCTTGTGCCTACAGAATCCTCCAATTGTTCATTTTTTAGCCATTGAAGTCGCAAAATTCTGAAAATGCATCCAAATTTGGAAAATTCCCGCAATGAGGCCTAAATTTAAAAAAAACTTTGCTAACTTCAAGAAAAAAATCACATCAGACTATCTATGTTCTTTGAATCTAACAGCAGATATTTTTCAGGTTTGATCTGACGCTGAGGAGCAACTTTTTCCATCTCTCTCTAACTGATTACAAAAGATAAAAATGAAATGCCTTTTGATTTTACTGCTTCTTTTCAACTTCATCAATTTGGGTAAGAACCACCACCACTGTACTGCATATGATGAAATTAAAATGGAAGAATAATTTGTTTTTGTTTAGTTTCAATTATTTATTGTGACGTTTTACCTGTTGTGCTACACTTGTATTGCAGATATTTTGGTATTGAGGATTGTTATGTTCACTTTACTATGTACAGGCATGAGCCATCAGTTCAGCACATAATGGGAATGGGTCCCTTGGTCTGACACTGAATGAGCATTGCTAAATATTCAGTTCGCCAATTAAGTGACAACATCAGCTGGCCAGAGGAAAGCCTAATAAAAAAGGAGGTAGCTGTTCAGATGATGATTCTGATTCCAGTCAAGGATTTGATCTAAGTAACTTACTCAGTAACCCCTCTTCCCAACTATCTCTCCCTAACTCACTCACTGACAGCTATCCCTCTTCCTAAACCTACCCTGGCCACTCACTCCCCTTTTACCCACACTGCTCCACCAACAATCAGCAGTCCCTCTTCCCAGCTCTCCTCCAACGCCCAATCAGCAGTCCCTCTTCCCAGCTCTCCTCCAACGCCCAATCAGCAGTCCCTCTTCCCAGCTCTCCTCCAACTCCCAATCAG